CTTTTATCCATATGGCACTCGACACTGACAAGTTTGTTTATGCTTACGCTCTCATGACACCTTTTATTCCTATGACACGACCCTGTCATATTCTTAGATTCATATGACACTCGACGCAGTTTTGGCCTATCATTTTCTCACCTATAACACACGACACCCTTTATTGACATGCCACTCGAACGCCAACAACTCCTATCATTCCTTTACCTCTAAGCCACGCCCCTCAAACCCTCCTACCTTCTTCTCTGGGCTGTGTAGTGGTAGCGGTAGCGTTCTCGTCTGGAAATCTCGCTGACCCGCGTTCGAATCCCGCGCGCTGCCAGTGGATGGTCACCCCGGCCGTTCCTCGGACGCATTGGGTCTTTTGGAACCAGTTGCGCAAAAAGTGTGTCACGGCAAAGGATGTCCATTGTAAGAGAGGGAGTTAAACTAGATTAGTGTTATTTTGATTATTATTGTTATTGTTATTATTATTGTTACTGTTATCATTATTATTGTTATTATTGTTCCTGTTATTGTTACTGTTATTATTATACTGTTATTATTATTATTATTATTATTATTATTATTATTATTATTATTATTATTTTTATTATTACGATTATTATTATTATCATTCTTATTATTATTTTCATCATCATTATTATTATTTTTCAGGTACATCTCGAGCCTCCGTCAGCAGTGGCAGGTCCCCGCCCTCACCGCCCTCGACGCCTCCTGGTCCCCCACGCCCACCATCGACGCCCTTTACGCCTCTCTCGCCCGCGTCCTCGTGGCCTGGGACCCTCTCCTGGACGCCCACCTGCCCCACACGCCCATCGTCTTGCCCGTGGGCGGCTTTCACTACTCGACGGGGCACATGACGAAGGTAAAGGGGCCGTGGAACCAGTTTTTCTTTTTTTTTTTTCTTCTTCTTTTTCTTTCTTCTTCTTTTTCTTTTTTCTTTTTTTTTTCTCTTCTTTTTTTTTTTTCTTTTCTTTTTTCTTTTTTTCTTTCTATCTTTAGATAGGGGAGAGAGAGGAGGGAGAGGAGGGAGGGGCAAGGGGAGGGAGGGAGAGGCAAGAAGTGAAGGAAGGCGGGGGAAGAAGACAGAGAGAGAGAGGGAGAGAGAGAGAGAGAGAGAGAGAGAGAGAGAGAGAGAGAGAGAGAGAGAGAGAGAAGAGAGAGAGAGAGAGAGAGAGAGAGAGAGAGAGAGAGAGGAGAGAGAGAGAGAGAGAGAATAATAGTGCCAGTGTGTTTGTGAGGGAAGAAAGCGAGGAGAGAGAAGGGAGGAGAGAGGCTGCACTTAAAAAGAGGATTTTTAAACTGATGGACATTTTTGGCACACATCGCGTTATTTGTGTGTGTGTGTGTGTGTGTGTGTGTGTGTGTGTGTGTGTGTGTGTGTGTGTGTGTGTGTGTGTGTGTGTGTGTGTGTGTGTGTGTTGTATACTTAGATTACATATGTGGTTGTGTATGCATTTGTTTATTTTCTTACTCTCCGTTTATATTTTTTAAAAGTCAAAGGGGAATTTGCACCTAGACGAGAAAGGAAAATATGCAATCCAGCTAGAATAGGCCTATGGCTAGGATTTGTAAAGGACAAATATACCCCGGTAGGTTTAATCTATCACTCGCAAGGAAAATAAAACAAAAACAAAACATTTTTATGATTTGTTATATAAAAGGAGGGGTGATAAACCTCTCTGATATAAGCTAATCATAATTAATTCACCAAGAAAATCCATACACAAAAACAACCAAACAAACAAAAAATATCCCAACAAGCCTCATCACAACCTCACCACGATATCCCTCCGCAGGACGTCCTAGTCCCCGCCCTCCTGAACCGCGCGGGCGTCCTCGTCGTCAGCGCGGGCGGGCGGGAGGCGTGGCTTGGACAGGACGCCCTCGCCGCCCTCCACAGCGTCCTCAGACCGACCTCCTACACCGTCCTGTGGCGAATTTCCCACCCGCACCTCCAGCCGAATGTCACCCTCGAGGAACTCAACGCAGCGACCGCCAAGTTTGTTTATAAGGAGTACCTGCCGCTCAACGATGTTCTGAGTAAGTTGATGATGATGATGATAATGATAATGACGACGATGATAATGATAGTGATGATGATGATAATGATGATAATGATAATGATAGTGATGATGATGATAATGATGATAGTAACGACGATAATAATGATGATGGGGGTGATGATGATGATGATTATGATGATCATAATGATGATAATAACAACTATGACAGTGTTAACAATAATTAACAAATTGCTTTGTTGATAAAACGAAAGAAAAAAATACACTATAATTTTTTTTTCTTGATTTAGTATTGAGGATGATCCTTATTACTTTCGTTATTCATATATTGGGAATTTACTTTAATATTTCCAAAACATTTCCACCGTTCTACTTTTTTGTGTCTCCATTCATCTACATTTTCCAATGATCCATTTAATTACTTGTCTGCTTATCAATAATTATATCTTTTATGATTATTTCTTTTTTCATCTGTCTTTCTGCATATCCCTTTTCTGTTTATATATGCTTGTATGTCTGTTAACCTAATTTTGTTTATATATATCTCTGTTTTCGCTTGTTTGTTTACCTGTCTATCTATCTATCTATCTATGTACCTGTCGATTTATTACTCCATCGATCTGTGTATGACGATAGATCTATATTGGTGTCTGTCTATCGGTCTGTCCGTACATGTCGATCTATTTTTTCATATTCGCAGATACGCACACACGCACGCACGTATACACACACACACGCACACACAACACACACACACACACACACACACACACACACACACACACACACACACACACACACACACACACACACACACACACACACACACACACACACACACACACACACACACACACACACACCACACACACACACACATACTTCCCTAGTTTATGATATTCTTTTAAGGGAAAGATAACCCAGCGTGGGACAGACTGATCACCCTTTCTTTGCAGGGGGAGGGGGGAGGGGGGAGGGGGAAATTTGCATAATATTGGCCTGTAATTTGATGTTTGATACATGATACATGTATATGGACATTGTTTACATTTCTTTGGAAGAGAGCGGGCACAGGCCGAGAGGTGAGGGGATGGTGATGAGAGAGTGACAGAGGACAAAAAAGGACAGAGAAGAGAAAAATAGAGGATAGAAACAGGCGCACAGAAGAGACCAGAGGAAGCAGCAAATTAGAAGAACGATGACGAGAGGGGAATTGACGATTGGAGTAAGCCGGAGCTAGCGAGATTCAGGGATAGAGAGAAGAAGACAGAACAAAGCGCTGGCTGATAGAGAAGAGAGATAGCTGAGGCTCGAATGAGGAGGAGGCGGGGGAGAGGGACAGAGCGAGGGGTTGAGATCAAGTCTGATGAGAGAGATGGATGACGAGAAGAATCCGTTGATACGAGTGAGAGATCTGTATGAGACTGGTCCGAGCGACCACGCGATGACGAGAAGAGAAGATGAGATCACGACGAGACGACGGATATGAAGAGGTAACGCGAAGAAAGATAAACCGTGGGAGGGCAGGAGGAGTGGAGAGAGGAGAGAGAGGGAAATGCGCTTGATGACCGACCGATAGAACAGAATAGGCGCAGAACAAAAAGGATCAGAGACAAGAGATGAGAGGATGAGAGAGGAGAGTGAGATGATGAGGAAGAGAGAGAGAAGGGGAGAAAGACCAAGACAAGATGTTAAGAAGAGAGAGGAAAAGAAAGAGTAAGAATACAAGATGCGAATGAGAAAGAGCCTCGAGAGAAATGCGAAGAAAGAGCAACGGAGAAAAAAGAAAGGCAAGGAGAGGAGAAAGAGGGTGTTACGCAGATGCCATACATGCGGCGACAGCGAGAGCAAGGGCCCGCCACCCGCTCGCCCCTTCCTCTCCCACCAGCACATGACCTGACCTCTCTCTGTTCTTCCTTCATCTCTCTCTCATCTCTCTTCTCTCTCTCTCTCTCTCTTCTCTGCTCTCTCTCTCTCTTCTCTCTCTCTCTCTCTGCTCTTCTCTCTCTCTCTCTCTCTCTCTCTCTCTCTCTCTCTCTCTCTCTTCTGTCTCTCTCTCTCTCTCTCTCTCTCTCTTCTCTCTCTCTCTCTCTCTCTCTCTTCTCTCTCTCTCTCTCTCTCTCTCTCTCTCTCTCTCTCTCTCTCTTTCTCTCTCTCTTCTCTTTCTCTCTCTCTCTTCTCTCCCTCTCCCTCCCTTCGCCTCCTTCCCTCTCCCCCTCCCCTCGCCTCCCCTCCCTTCCCCCTCCCTCTCCCTCTCTCCCCTTCTCCTCCCTCCCTCTCCCTCTCCCTCCTCTCCTCCCTCCCCTCCCTCCCTCCCTCCCTCCTCTCCCTCCCTCCCTCCTCCCTCTCTCTCCCTCTGCCCCTCGCCCCCCCTGCCCTCCTCTCCCTCTCCTCCTCTCTCCTCCCCTCGTCCTCCTCCCTCTCTCCCTCCCTCTCTCTCTTTCTCTCTCTTTCCTCTCCCTCCCTCTCTCTCTCCATCTCTCTCCCTCTCCCTCTCTCTCTCTCTCCTCTCTCTCTCTCTCTCTCTCTCTCTCTCTCTCTCTCTCTCTCTCTCTCTCTCTTCTCTCTCTCTCTCTCTCTCTCTCTCTCTCTCTCTCTCTCTCTCTCTCTCTCTCTCTCTCTCTCTCTCTCTCTCTCTCTCTCTCTCTTCTCTCTCTCTCTCTCTCTCTCTCTCTCTCTCTCTCTACCGTTTGGTCACAGAGCCACTTTTTATGACTTTTAAATGCGCCGTGTGTGTTGTCCTTAATTATTTTCTCTACTTTGGCGTCGTTTCCCATTATTTAAGAATATTTCCCCCCGTTTTCTGGTCCTTCTGTGTATTTTTCGTTGTGGTCCAAGTCTGTGATTTGTTTTGGTTATTTTTTCTCTCGTATTTTTGCTGTGAAGTCTGTATTGTTTCTTGAGTTTTATTTATTTTCTTTTTTTTTCTTCTTTTTTTCGTCATGCATTCTCTCGCTGCGTGCACTTCCACCT